TTTTAATGGATTAGAAAATCCAAATTCCAACTCCATAAACTTCCAGCTTCATCACCTGTACACTCTCCCTAAACTTACACTGTGGTCATTCATTCATTCAACAAACATCTGAAAAGTCTCTACTGAGTCCCAGGTACCGTTCTAGACACCTGGGGCACAAGACCTGTGGTAAGTTGAATAATGTCCTTCCCCTCCAAATATGTCCCTGCACAAATCCCCAGAACCTGTGAACATGTTACTTTACATGGCAAAAGGGACTTTGCAGAGGTGGTTAAGGGTGCGGATCTTCAGATGAGGAGAGTGTCCTCACTTATCTAGGGGGGGCTGATCTAATCACAGAATTTCTTAAAAACCAAAAAATCTTTCTCTGTAGTGAGAGAGAAAGATATGAGGATGAAAGAAGGATCAGAGAGATGCAACATTGCTGACTTTGAAGATGGAGGAAGGAGCCTCACGCCAAGGAATGTGGGTGGCCTCTAGAAGCTGGAAAAGGCAAGGAAAAGGATTCTCCCTTAGAGCCTCCAGAAGGAATGCAGCCCTGCTGACACCTTGAGTTTAGCTCAGTGAGACCCATATCAGACTTGTGACCTACAGAACTGTAAGAGAATGAATTTGTGTTGTTTAAAGCCACTGTTGTTGTTGTTAGGTGTCAAATCAGTTCACACTCATAGCAATCCATGTGACAGAGTAGAACTGCCCCTTAGGGTTTTCTTGGCTGTAATCTTTACAGAAGCAGACTGCCACATCTTTCTCCCTTGGAGTGGCTGGGTGGGTTCCAACCATCAGTCTTTTGGTTGTCAGCCAAGCGCTTAACCGTTGCACCAGCAGGGCACCATTAAACCTACTAACCAAAAAGTTAATGCGCTTATCTGCTAACTGAAAAGTTGGAGGTTCAGGTTCACCCAGAGGCACCTCAGAATAAAGGCCTGGTGATCTACTTCTGAAAAATCAACCACTGAAAAACCCTATGGAGCACAGTTCTACTCTGACACACACGGGGTCATCATGAGTCAAAATAAACTTGGCAGCAACTGATACTGGTACTAGAAAAGCCACTGTTTGTGGTAATTTGTTATGGCAGCAATAGAAAACTAACACAAATCCTTGCTAGAGCTAAAAGTCTAGCAGAAGAGATTCACAACACCCTGGACCAGCAATGCAAATTTCCCACCTCTCGGCCTTTGCTCCTCTGAGAATTCCCTTCCTCCTCATATCTGCCTGTGGACATAATGCCAGCTCCTGCATGAAGCGTTCTCAGATTTTTATTGCTGTTGTTGTTAGGTGTCGTCAAGTTGGTTCCAACTCATAGAAACCCCATGTCCAATAGAACGAAATGTTGCCTGGTGCTGTGCTATCCTCACAATAGTAGGTACATTTAACCCCGTTGTTGCAGCCACTGTGTCAATCCATCTCGTTGAGGGTCTTCCTCTTTTTCGCGAACCCTCTACTTTACCAAGCATGATGTCCTTATTCAGGGACTGGTCCCTCCTAATGCCATGCCCAAAGTAAGCGAGATAAAGTCTCGCCATCCCTGCTTCTAAGGAACATTCTGGCTGTACTTCTCCCAAGACAGACTTGTTCATTCTTCTGGCAGTCTGTGGGATATTCAATATTCTTCACCAACGTCATAATTCAAATGTGTCAATTCTTCTTCAGTCTTTCTTTTTTATTGTCCAGCTTTCCCATGTATATGAGGCAATTGAAAATACCATGGCTTGGGTCAGGCACCTTAGTCATCAAAGTGACATCTTTGCCTGGTTGCACAGTGGTTAAATGCTCAGCTGCTAACCAAAAGGTTGGTGGTTCTAACCCACCAGCCACACTGCAGGGGAAAGATGTAGCAGGCTGCTTCTGTAAAGATTTACAGCCTTGGAAGCCCTTTGGGCAGTTCTGCTCTGTCCTATAGGGTCGCTAAGAGTTGGAATCGACTTGACAGCCTTCCCAGATTGCTCTACTATAAATTATCACTCCTTTCCCTGGGATCCTGCAGCCTGTTTTTCATTTTCAGTAAATAACTCTAACAACCAACATTTTGTGGTTTTAAACAACTTCACACACATTTTGCTCATTGGATTGAGACCTGAGGTCACCCAGCTAATTCTAATCCCTGTGGAGTCACACTTGGAACCCAAAGAGTCTGGCTCCAGAACTCATGCTTGCAACTATTTCAGTATCTATCTGAATGTGCGACATGTGTGTGAAATCATTTAAAACGGATTCCAACTGTGGCTTCTGAGTGAAAGTTCAGCTTCTCTGAGCCTCATTTTTTTCTCCATCAAAAACATGGGTGTTACAAAAGGACAAATATCTTACAATCTCACTTATATGAAATATCTAGAATAGGCAAATGCATAGAGACCAAGTTTTTATTAGTGGTTACCAGTGGCAGAAGGTGGGGAGGGGAACAGGAAACTATTTAGGAAGCAGTGAGTTTCTGTTGATGGTGACAGAAAATTTGGCAAAGATTATTGGTGATGGTTGCACAATACCATTAATGTAATTGATGTCACTAAATTGTACACGTGAGAAAGGTTGAATTGGCAGATGTCGTGTTACATATAATTTTACAGCAATTTTTAAAAAATAGGTCTTAGCAATAGGAGCTATGTCAACGGTTGTTGGAAACGTGCACATAAAGGGTTTATTGTGATGCCGAGCACAGAGAAAATGAGCTCTCCATAACTCTTTCCAACAACCCCAGAGCCCCATTATTTTTTTCAGTGGAAGAAACTGAGGTTTGAAGAGGTAAAGTCATTTGCTCAAGGTTACTTTGCTAATGAGAATCTGAATTCATGTCTGTCTCTTCTCCCACTCTCCCCAACACCGCCCCCTCTCCGCGCCTTCCTCCAAGTCTTCCTAGTATTATGATTGCACGTGTGGTTTTCCTTAGATTTCTCTTGCACAGTTCGTAATTTTACAGTATTGGAGTTCCGTTACTGCCTTCTCCGCCACTAGGAGGATGCAGAAGGTGAGGACCGGGGACCTTCGTCATTGCTGCCCGTGCCCAACCTATGACCGCCTCCGCCACGAGGGGGCGCTATGGAATAGGGAGGCAGGGCTGGGTTGCAAAGAACAAACGCTCTGGAATCCTGGCTGTACATAGCTGGATGGCTTTGAACAAGGAGCACCACCTCTGGGAGCTCCAGGTTCCGATTCTGGAAACTGGGGGTAATGAACCCTAACTTACAACTTGAGTTGCACTGCTAACACACACACAAGTCATGCCACCTCCGGGGCCTGCTCTTTCATTTCCCTTCCCCCATTGCAAGGCAGGCTCCTGAGTGATAGAAGGAACCTACGTGTGTTTGGCTCAGCTTTTATAGTGGGCAAGGGGCCAGGTACCAATTAGAGGCACAGCTCACCAGTGATGTCAGAAAGCTTGAGGTCGATTAACAACTGCCCCTCCCACCCCTCCATTCTCTGCCCAGCCCCTCTCAGGTGAGACTGGCATGCACATGCGTACTGAGTACAAAAAAAAAGGGCAGGAAAAGGCATGTGGGGGTGAAGTTTGTCTGAGGCAAGGAGGAGAAGGTGAAGACAGGCACAGGGGTGCAAGGCGACAGAGACACAAACCAGGACAGTCAGAGATAGCGAGTTGGGAGAGATAGAGAGTGTAACAAGCAGATGGTGAGAGCAGAAATGGCGACACTTGGAGAAGGAAGTAAGACAGCCCCTGAGGGGAAACAAGTGGGAATAGGGAGAGAAAGTGAGACAACCAGAGATAGAAACAGACCAATAAGAGGGGAAAGGAAACAGTGAGAGAAATAAAAGTGAGAGGAAGTGACAAAGAGAGGAGAGAGCAAGTGAGAGAGACAAGAAAGAAAAATGGTGCCAGAAACCAACTCAAAAAAAAAAAAAAATAGATGTTAAGGGTCTCTTAGAGTCAGTGAGAGGAAAAACAAGACGGTGAGAGAAATTGACTAGGGGAAAAATAGTGACAAATAGATGATGAGGGTGTGAAATTGATAGTGAAAGGAAAAACAGAGAGACAGGGAAAAAGATTAAGAAAAATTGACTGAAAAATGGAGATAATGAGAGAGTAAACTCGACAATGAAAGAAATATGAGAAATATGGTGAGTAAAACAAGATAGCAAGAGAAATTGTGGAAAAAAATAGAGAAATTGAGAAATCAAGATGAGTGTGAAAATTGATAATGAAAGAAAAACTCAGAGGGAAACGTATAAAGAGACATTGATGATCAAAAATAGAGTGAGAAATAGAAATGCTGAGTGAAATTGATAACAAAAGAAAAAAATGAAGATGGTGAGAAAAAGATAGCAAGAGAAATTGACTGAAAAAAATAGTGAGCGAGACGATGAACATGAAAATATGATAATGAAAGAAAAAAGAGAAAGCACAGAGGGAAAAAGAGAAATGGATAATGAAAAGAGAGAAAGAGAAATGGACTGTGAAAAATAGAGTAAAAAATAGAGATGATGGTCATGAAAAATTGATAATGAAAGAGAAAAAAAGAGAGAGAAGGAAAGTGCAAGCAACAGAGCTCAAGAAAGAGGAGCAGAGATGGATGAAGGGAGACCCTACCTGCAATGCTGGGATAAAACAGAGTTGAGCCACAAGAATGGGCGGGGTTCCTTTGCTTTGGAGGATGATGACATGGTGACAGAGTGGACCTCAGCCGTGGGGTCTGGGAGGATTTCCACTGAGATTCTGGATGTCAGGGCCCTAGCCAGGAGTATTATGGCCAATTCCCTGTGGGTCCCAGTAGGTTTTCATAAACAGCTCAGAATTTGCTAAACCTGGTTCAATCTCTTAAAGACCCCAGAGGACTGATAATAATTTCCTCTTCTAGGCTCTGGAGGACAATGTTATGGTCAAGCCCATAGAAGGAACATTTTTAGGGTCTCTGGAGCCAAGAAAAACTTGTCCCAGGTCTCTGAGGCCTAGGCCATCTCATTTAGAAAGGTCTTTCCAGAAGCCCTGCAGAGAGGTGGACAGAAGTTTATGAAGACCCCTCCACCACCACAGTCATGCCTCTTACCTGTGTCCGGAAGGTGCCTTGTTGCTGGGGAGGAGGGGGCCCCAGTGCTCCTAGTGGTGCCCCAGGAGAGAGTTAGTCCAGGTGCCCCTGCAGTGGTGGTTCCCTTCGTCAGGTCCTCTCCTGAGGTGGGGTCCCAGGTCCAGGGGGGATAATCCTCATCTTCTGTGTAGCCTTGGGAGGAATTGGGGAAAGGGTTGAGCCCTGTGCTTGGTCTCAGAGGTGCCTGCTGCTGCTTCTCCCTCCCTTTTTAGGTCTCCTAGAGGGATTCTGGATCCCTCAAACCCCTCATGCCCAGTTCTTTAGATCCCACCATGATGTGGCCACCTGACCTAACCACCACCCCTCGAGCCCATGAACTTCACCACCTCCCACCCCTGGTACCAGTGCAGGTGAGCCCCACGTCTTCCTCATGGTCACAGTTGTGCTTCCCCCATGCTCCAGCAGGGCAGTCGCTCAGCGATGCCTCACTGCCCTTGCAGCCCATGTCATCCAACCAGATGGGCCCGGTCCCCGGGCCGTAGTGGGTTTTGCCCACTCGGGGCTGGACCCTTCCACAGCCTAGTTCCCAGCAGGCCACAGCAGCGTCCCGCAGATCCCAGTTGTCATCGCACACTGTCCCCCAGCGTCCAGCATGCCACACTTCTAGCCGGCCAGCACACCGGTTGGGTCCATCGGCCAGACGAACCCAGAAGGGGCCTGCCGGTAGAAGGCCCTCAGGTCAGGAGGAGTCAGCCTCTCCTCCGCCTTCACTCCCCACTCTCCTTTAAGTTCCTGCCACTCTCACCTGATTCCCCAGTGGTGGTGCCAGTGGGGAGTGGGGAGGGGTCTTTGGATGACTCTGGAGATCCCTCTGCTGGGATCTCAGAGGATGGCTCTGTGGAGGCCTGAGGGATCTGCTTGATAGTGGCCTCAGAGGTCATTTCTTGGTGGCCCTGAGTGGTCAGTGTGGCCAAGGTCCTAGAGGTCAGTTCTCGGGAGGCCTGAGGCATCAGCGTTGCTGTGGTATATGAGGTCGATCTGTGGGGGGCCTCAGTGGTCAGCCTTGTGGTAAACTCAGAGGGTGATCTTCGAGAGGCCTCAGTGGTCTTGGTTGTGGTGGTCCGTGAGGTTAGTTCTAGGGGATTTTGTGTGCCCAAGCCCCTGAAGTATTTAGTGGTTGGCATCACAGGAGGTTGAGTGGTTGGTCTTCTTGCATTTTTTGTCACCCACTTCTTAGTATTCTTGGGCATTTTCCCTGGGGCCTTAGCGGTTGTTTTCTCAGGAGCACTAGGAATCAGCCTAGCAGAGGGCTTGGTGGCCAGCTCCCTCGGGAGCCAACCATCCCGATCTCTACCTAGTTCAGGGATCCAGCTCCAGCTGAATGGATCTGAGATGGAGTCCAGGCCAGGGGTCCCTGGAAGGCGGGGTGGGGGATGGGGAGGAAAGACAAGATGGCAGACACAGTGATAAGACCATCGTCCAAGGCCCTTCCCTTTCATCTCTTTCGCCAGTCAACTACCAAGTTCCCATTCATTGATCGATTTATCCATTCATTCATCATAAATATTTATTGAGATCTCCTATGTGCCAGGCATGGTGCTAGACCCTGAGGATACTAGAACAAGCCAAACGAGACACCATCTCCTGTCTTCTTGGCACTAGATGGGACTAACCCGTCCTTTGCTCCCTCACATTCAACCCTTCTTCTCCATCTCCTCCGCCTCTGACTTGAGTTAGGGCCTCACTTCCTGTTTCTCCCCATCAAGTTCTCACCAACCACAAGAGGGACCTGAGAGGTCACTCCCCGGCTTAAAACCCTTCTGTGGAGTGGCCATGTAAGATACAACTATTGGTCTCTACTCATCTGGAGGAAAAGAGGAAGAAGGAAACCAAAGACTCAAAGAAGAAACTAGTCTACAGCACTAATAGTCTGTAGGAACCATGGTGTCATTTACCCTGAGACCAGAAGAACAAGAAGGTACTTGGCTACCACTGCCAACCATTCTGATCAGGGCCACAATAGATGGATTCTAATAGAATGGGAGAAAAATGTGGAACAGAACCTCAAATTCTTTAAAAAAAAAAAAGACTTACTGGATCAGTTGAAACTGGAGGACTCTCTGAGACTACTGCCCTGAGATAGTCTTTAATCCTTGAACCAAAACTAGCCTCTGAGGTCACCTTTTAGCTAAATAACAGATTGGCTCACAAAATAAAGAATATCACCCATGAGTACTGGGCTGCTTAAAAAAAATCATCTATATGAGACCAAAGGGTCAACAATTAATTTAAAACAAAGATGAGCACATAAGGGGGCAGGGAAGCTAGATTAATGGAAGCAGAACAACCAGAACGGAAATAACAATAATGTTCATGCTTTGTGAAGAATGTAACCAACGTCACTGAACAACTTGTGTAGAAATTGTTGAATGGGAACCTAAACTGCTATGGATACCTTCACCAAAAACACAATAAAGTATTGAAAACACAAAAAAAAAAAACCTTCTGTGATTCCCCATCTAGGAGCCCTGGTGGCACAGTGGTTAAGCACTCGGCTGCTAACAGAAAGGTCAGTGGTTCGAACCCACCAGCTGCTTCATGGGAGAAAGATGTGGCAGTCTGCTGGCTGTGAAGATTACAGCCTTGGAAACCCTATGGGGCAGTTCTACTCTGTCATATAGGGTTGTTATGAGTTGGAATCAACTTGATGACTACGGGTTTGGTTTGGATTTGGTGGTTCCCTGTGGCCTTCAGCTTCAAGCAGAACTGTTGACTCCATCCTCTGAGTCAACACTACTCATCTTACATCCTTCTGATGAGTACATGTATGAAGTAAAGGATTAATTCAGCAGGTCTGGGTTATCTAAAACCTGCACATTCCAAAGAAAGGTTTGGCCATTCCCTGGCTCCTGGAACATAAGCTCTAAACCCTTGGAGTATCCTGCCTGATAAGAGTGTCAAGAGTGTCTTTGTTTACCTGAGGCCTTGGGCCATAACAGATAGTCTATGCTATAGTCTATGTGGTTTATGGTAGTGGCCTCGGGCTATCAGCTTGATCTCTAGAGGGGCTGGAGACTGTAAGGTCAGGCACACGGACAGACGGTCAGTCATGCCTACATAACCGAGCCCCAGTAAAAACTCTGGACAATTGGACAACAAGGCGCAGGGGAGCTTCCCTGGTTGGCAATACTCGATGTGTGTTGTCACACATCATTGCAGGGAGAAGTACCATATTTTTATGCAAATAACACAGCCTTCTGCATTTGTTTGCTGTCTGTGCTCCCCCAACCCCACCCCAGGCACCCTCAAAAGCGCCACCATGCCAATCCTCTTCCACATGTCACTTTAAAAAAAATAGCAGTGCTTAGGAAAATACCTCTCAGGAGGAGGGCTCAGCTGGCAAACAAATGCAGAAGGCACATGTCATTTGCATAAAAATATGGGTAAGTGCTGTCTGCACAACTCCACTGGGAGATAACAACGGGGAGCTCAGGCCCAGTGTCTCCCAGACCTTGCCCCATGTGCCTCTTCCCTTTGCTGATTTTAATCTGTGTCCTTTTGCTATAATAAACGATAACCATGCGTATAACGGCTCTTCTGAGTTCTGTGAGTCCTTCTAGTGAATCACTGAACCTGAGGATGGTTCTCTTGAACTATAACATGGCACACAGATTTGCGATGAATTCCTTGTGCATCTCTTTTCCTCAGTGAGCTGTGAGCTTCTCAAAGGCAAGAACCATTCTGAGGACCCAGCCCTTATCTCAGTATCTGGCACCTCATAATGCTGTTTTTGGGTGCTGTTGAGTCAATTCCAATGCATAGCAACTCCATGTGACAGAGTAGAACTGCCCCATAGGGTTTTCTAGGCTGTAATCTTTACAGGAGCAGATTGTCAGGTCTTTTCTCCCACAGAGCCACTAGGTGGGTTTGAACCACCAACCTTTCGGATAGCAACTGAGTGCTTAACCATGTGCCACCAGGGCTCCTTGCAATTATTAAAAAAACCCACTGCTGTCAAGTCAATTCTGACTCAAAGTGACCATATAGGACAGAGTAGAACTTCCCCATAGGGTTTCCAAGGAGAGGCTGGTGGATTAGAACTGCCAACCTTTTGGTTAACTGCCAAGTTCTTAACCACTGCACCACCAGCTCTTCTCAATAAATGTTGGCAAGTGAACAAACAAGCAAACACATTGTCTGACTTAATTTTAACTGGCCCTCACTTTGGCTTCTATCCCTCTCCAAATGCCCCTACGTCTGCTTCCTTTCATCTTAGTGAGGATAGCACTCCCTTTCCATCTTTGTGGGAGACTTGTTTGATTCCTGAGAGGAGGAAGGAACTTCTCTGGGTGGGAGTCCTAGCTCTGCCACTTACTTATTGTGTGACCTTGGGCAAGTTCCTTAACCTCTCTATGCCTCAGCGTCTTCATCAGTAAAATGGGCATAACGTCCAGCCACCTAGACTTACTATGAGATTTGAATGCAGCCACATACGTGAAAGCACCCAGCGTAGGGCTGGGGCATAGGAGGTGTTCAATCGATGTTAATAGCAATGCTGTTTCCCACCCCCTCCTCCAGGAAGCCCCATTGGTGAGTGGGGAGGGCCTCCTTACCAGTGCAGGTGACTCCAACATCCTCATTGTGAGCACAGTTGTGCTTCCCCCAGGGAGCAGCAGGACAGTTGGAGAGTGAAGCCTCAGTCCCCACACAGGCCACATCATCCAGCCAGATGGGGCCTGCACCCCAGCCAAAACGACCAGCAGGGGGGTCTGGCTGCCGACCCGTTCCGCAACCCAGCTCCCGGCAGACCACTGCTGAGTCCCTCAGGTCCCAGCTGTCATCACACACCGTCCCCCATCGTCCTGCGTGCCACACCTCCAGACGGCCTGAGCATCTGCTGGGTCCAGCCACCAGGCGCAGGTGGGGTGACCCTGGGGCAGGAGAGACCCCAAGAACAAGAGAGTCAGAGAAGCCATCCAGCCCTCTGACTTTTATTTACTTATTTATTTTAAGTTGGTAAAATATGTATAACAAAAAAATTTACCATTTTAACCATTTTTCAGTGTATAACTAAATGACATTAATTACATTCACCATATTGTGCAAAAACCACCACTATCTATTTCCAAAAGTTTTTTGTCACCCCAGATTGAAACTCAGTACCTCTTAAGCAACAACTTCCTGTTCCCTCCTCCCCCCAGGTCCCGGCAACCACTAATCTACTTGCTGTCTCTGTGAATTTGCCTATTCTAGATATTTCATGTAAGTGGGACCATACAATATGTGGCCTTTTGTGTCTAGTTCATTTCACTTAGCATAATGTTTTTAAGGCTCATCCATGTCATAGCATATATCAGGACTTCATTTTTCTTATGGCTGCATAATAGTCCATTGTATGTATATACCACATTTTGTTTATCCATTTTTCCGTTGATGGACGCTTGGGTTTTTTCTACCTTTTGGCTACTGTGCATAACACTGCTATGAACATTGGTGCACAAGTATAGCCCTCTGTGTCTTCATCCACCTTTTCCTTCATCTTCCTTTCAACTCCTCCATCCATTCATCTAGGCTTTCCTTCATTCACTCATCCTTCCTTGGGGACAGCAAGCATTTACTGAGGCTTTTTCTGTGCCATCGTCTGCATTAGGTGCAAGGGATAAAGAGGCACACTGTAATGGTTCTTCAAAGAGTTAGACACTGGATTACCGTGTTGTTGTTAAGTGCAACACCCCCATGTACAACAGAACGAAACATTGCCCGGTCCTGCACCATCCTCACAATCGTTGCTGTGTTGGAGCCCATTGTTGGAGCCACTTTGTCAATCCATCTCATTGAGGGTCTTCCTCTTTTTCACTGACCTTCTGCTTTACCAAGCATGATATGTCCTTATCCAGGAACTGGTCCCTCCTGATAATACATCCAAAGTATATGAGATAAAATCTTGCCATCCTCGCTTCTAAGGAGCATTCTGGCTGTACTTCTTCCAAGACAGATTTGTTTGTTCTTCCAGTAGTCTGTGGTATATTCAACATTCTTCACCAACGTCATAATCCAAAGACATTCAATTCTTTTTTGGTCTTCCTTATTCACGGTCCAGTTTCTCATGCATATGAAGCAACTGACAATACCATGCCTTGGGTCAAGTGCACTTTAGTCCTCAAACTGATATCTTCGCTTTTTAACTCTTTAAAGAGGTCTTTTGCATTACATGTGCCCAGTGTAATACGTCGTTTGATTTCTTGATTGCTGTTTCCATGGGCATTGATTGTGGATTCAAGTAAAATGAAATCCTTGATAATTTCAATATTTTCCCATTTATCATGATGTTGCTTACTGGTCCAGTTGTGAGGATTTTTGTTTTCTTTATGTTGAGGTGTAATCCATACTGAAGGCCATAGTCTTTGATCTTCATTAGTAAGTGCTTCAAGTCCTCTTCACTTTAAACAAACAAGTTGGTGTCATCTGCATATCACAGGTTGTTAATGAGTCTTCCTCCAATCCTGATGCCCCATTCTTCTTCATCTAGTCCAGCTTCTCTGATTATTTGCTCAGCATACAGATTGAATAAGTATGTTGAAAGGATACAACCCTGACACACACCTTCCCCGATTTTAAACGAGTATCCCCTTGTTCTGTTCAAAGGACTGCCTCTTGGTCTATGTACAGGTTCCACATGAGCACAATTAAGTGTTCTGGAATCCCCATTCTTTGCAGTGTTATCCATAATTTGTTATGATCCACACAGTTGAATGCCTTTGCATAGTCAATAAAATGCGGGTAAACATCTTTCTGGTATTCTCTGCTTTCAGCCAAGATCCATCTGACATCAGCAATGAAGGACCCAGCAATTCCACTCCTGCGTATAGACCCAAGAGACTTGAAAGCAGAGACTCAAGAAAATACTTGTACACCAATGTTCATAGCAGCACTATTCACAATAGCCAAAAAGTGGAAACAACTCAAATGCCCATTAACAAATGAATGGATAAAAAAATCCTGGTATATCCATGTGATGGAATATTATTCAGCCATGAAAAGGAATGAAGTACTGATTACATGTTATAACATGGATGAACCTCAGAAACGTTATGCTAACTGAAAGAAGCCAGTCACAAAAGACCACATATTGTATGATTACATTTATATGAAATATATAAAAAAGAAAAAAAGAAAAAACCATTGCTGTTGAGTTGATCCTGACTCATAGTGACTCTATAGGACAGAGTAGAATGACCCCCATAGGGTTTCCAAGGCTGTAATATTTACAGAAATAGATTGCCACATCTTCCTCCTGCGGAACAACTGGTGGGTTTGAACCACCGACCTTTAGGTTAGCAGCCAAGTGCTTAACCACTGTGCCACCAGGGCTCCTTTGTGAAATATCTAGAATTGGGAAATCCATAGAGAGAATAAATGTTAGCTATTATCATTACTATTATTGGAGTTCCTGGGTGGTGCAAATGGTTAATACACTTGACCGCTAACCAAAAGTTGGAGGTTCAAGACCACCCAGAGGCACCTCAGAAGAAAGTCCTGGTGATCTACCTTCAAAAAATCAGCCAATGAAAACCCTATGGGGCACAGCTCTACTCTGACACACACGGGATCACCATAAGTCAGAATCAACTCAACGGTTTTATTTATTATTATTATTACTATTATTTTAAAAGGGGGGGGAGAAGCCTCCAGTAGTATTAACCACAGTGTTAACAATTCCCCACTTGTGTTCAGCCATTTCCAACTTTGTAAAGATAATCATTGCTTTCAATGGGTTGATAACAATGAGTATCAACCATTGTGGATCTAGTCCTTTGAATACTCGTGGGAAGGAGGGCAGGCAAGCACGATGATCCCTGTTATATAAAGAACCAGGTGCGTAAGAAAGTAGAGGGTTGCCTTCAGCTGGGCTGTCACTCAGAGCGAGACAGAGTACCCTGTACAGGATCCCATGGCCAGCCAGAGTGAGATGGGAAGCCAGAAGCTCAGTCCATCATCCTTTCTCCCATCTAGGACCAGCGACATAATTTGCGGAGCCCAGTGAAAATGTTGGGCAACCTTCAAAAAGTATTAAGAATTAGGAAACAAAAAAGGACTAGTTGAGACTGGAGGTCTACCTAAGACTATAACCCTGAGATACTCTTCAAACCTTGGGGCAAAACTAGTGCCTGAGGTCACCTTTTAGCTAAATAACAGATTGACTCACAAAATAAAGAATATCACCTGTGAGTACTGTGCTTCTTTAAAAAATCATCTATATGAAACCAAAGAGTCAACAATTACTATAAAACAAAGATGAGAATGTAAGGCGGAAAGGAAACTAGATTAATGGAAACAGAACAATCAGAACAGAAATAATGAGAATGTTCACGCATCGTGAAGAATGTAACCAATGTGACTGAACAACTTGTATAGAAATTGTTGAATGGGAACCTAAACTGCTGTGAATACCTTCACCAAAAACACAATAAAATATTATTTAAAAAATCAGAATTAAAAAAAAGTATTAAGAATTTCAACAGGATAAAGGAGGGAGGAAATGGAGCTACATAGGAGCAAAGTTTTTGTACACTGTTAAAATTAAGTTGGTATTAATCAAAACTAGAGTGCTTTAGGTAAGAAGCTAATTGTAATTCCCGGGGCAACCATGAACAAAACAATTTAAAAATATATAATGAAAGACCAAAAAGGGAATTAAAATGGCACTCTAGAAAATATGTATTTAACATAGAAAAAAATCAGAGGTAAAAGAATAGAGGAATAAGAAAAAAGAAAAGAATTTCAAGATGGCAACCGAAAAAAAAACCAAACCCATTACCATCGAGTCAATTCTCACTCATGGCAACCTCATGTGTTACAGAGTAGAACGGTGCTCCATACATGGGGTTTTCTTGGCTATAATCTTTACAGAAGCAGATGGCCAGGTCTTTCTTCCACAGCACTGCCAGGTGGGTTTGAACGGTCAACCTTTAGGTTAGTAGTCGAGCACAAACCATTTGTGCCACCCAGGGATCTTAAGATGGTGACAGCAGAGCCTTACAGCAAGCCCAGGGCCCTTCTGAGCATGGGGCCCTGTACTCCTATCCTTCACCATTCTCTTTGCAAGACGGTCCCCGATGACAGTCTCCGAGCAAGAAGAAAGGGAACCTGGGGTGGGGCAGTGGGAGGGAGGAATCCGAAGTTAGGACCCTGTTTTCTTGGGGACCAGGAAGACACTTACCGGCTGCTGGTCCGGGCTCAGGAGGGGTAGTAGGGGAGGATGCAGGGGGTGAGATGCCAGTTGTCCACGGGGTCTGGGTCACCGTGTGGGGCAGAGCCCTGGAGGTTAAATTGTTGTTGCCCACTGCTGGGGTTGTGGGGGGGACATAGCCAAGGGGCATGCCTGGGACAGAGATGAGAAGTGATTATCACACACCCCCATGCTGCTGCCTTAGGCTCCCCACATCCTCCATCCCAGAGCCTGCACCCTTACTCCTTCACCCCCTCCATCTTCCCCCCTCCTCATCTCTCAGCTGCTCATACTCAGGGGTCCAGTCCTGCTAAACCTCCTCCCCAGATATAGCCCAAGCCTCCCACGTCCCTGGTCTGGGGAGAGGAGGGTGGGAAGGGAGAGAGAGAGAGGAGAGAGGAGAGTTGGGTTAAGGGTAAGAGAGAAGAGAGGAGGTGACATTATGCAGAGAAGATGGGCTTCCAATGGCAAGGGGGAGGCAGGGCCAAAGAGGAGAGGGTTGATGGAGGGCAGGTGTACTGGGTTGAATAGCTGTGTCGTCGTTGGGTACCATCAAGTTGATTCAGACTCATGGCGACCCTAAGTGACAGAGTAGAATTGTCCCATAGGGTTTTCTTGGCTATGATCTTTACAGAAGCAGATCACCAGGTCTTCCGTCCACGGAGCGGCTGGTGGGTTCAAACTGCTGACCTTTCAGTTAGCAGCCGAGCACTTAACCATTTGCACCATCATGTCTACTCAGAACCTTTGAATGTGGCCTTATTTGGAAATAAGGTCTTTGCAGATGTAGTTAGTTAAGGTGAGGTCATACTGGAGTAGGGTGGGCCCTAACTCAATGACTGGTGTCCCAGTAAGAAGAGGGAAATGTGGACACACACTCAGAGAGAAGAGGACCATGTAAAAACAGAGGCAGAGATTGGAGTGATGCGTCTACAAGTGAAGGAGCGCCAAGGATTGCAGGAAACCACAGGAAGCTGGAAGAGCGAAGGAGGGATCTTCCCTCGAAGATCCTTCCCTTGGTCCTGCCAACACCCTGACTCAAACTTCTAGCTTCCAGAAATGTGAGAGAATACATTTGTTTTTTCAAGCTGCCCAGTTTGTGGTAATTTGTTACGGCAGCCCCAGGAAAGGAATACAGCAGGGTTCTTCTACCTCAGCACTATTGACATATGTTAAGGACCCGTGGTGATGTAGTGGTTAAGCGTTCAGCTGCCAACCAAAAGTTCAGTGGTTTGAACTCACCAGCTGCTCTGCAGAAGAAAGATGTGGCAGTCTGCTTCCATAAAGATAACAGCCTCAGAAATCCTTTGGGGCAGTTCTACTCTGTCCTACAGGGTTGCTATGAGTCAGAATCGACTCCACGGCAATGGGTTTGCTTTTGGTTTTGGTTTAATTCGTTGTGGTGGCTCTCCTGTGCATTGTAGGATGTTGAGCAGCATCCCTGATCACTACCCACGAGATGGCAGTAGCAGACCCCTCCCCAGTTGGGCAACCCGAAATATCTCTAGATACTGTCAAATGTCCTCTGGGGAGGGGGCAGAATTGCCCCCATTGAGAACCACCAATGAGGACGAAGTTTCATGGAGAAGGAGCAGATGGAAGAATGGGAGGTTTTGGCAGAGGGAGCAAAGGACATGTTGGGTATGCATTAAGAAAAGGCACAAGTTCTGCCCCTACTGGCCCCTGTACTCCTGGGGCCTCCTCACCATCACACACAGCCCCGGCGTCTTCCCGGTGGTGACAGTCATGCTGGCTCCAGGCCCGGGCAGGGCAAAATCTCAAGGCCGTCTCATTGCCTCGACACCGAAGGTCATCCAGGAGGATGGGCCCAGCCCCCTCCCCAAAGAAGGCACCTCCGGGGGCAGCCAGCGCAGCCCCGCACCCCAGCTCCCGGCAGGCAACCGCAGCATCGCGCAGGTCCCAGGCGTCATCACACACTGTCCCCCAGCGCCCAGCGTGCCACACCTCCAGTCGGCCTGCACAGCCGTGGGGGCCGTCGGCAAGGCGCAGCCGGGGTGCTGGTCCTGGATGTGGGGGTCCGAGGAAAAACAGAGAGAAAGACAGGAGACAAAGATGTGCAAGCATTTACTAAACATCGCAGAGAGTGCTTCATCCCCAAGATGATGCCAGAAAGCAGACATTACATCTTCAGTTTGCAAGTGAGCCAAAGGCCTGATTCTACCTCGGGGCCAGCCTCTTCCTCCATCCCCCATGTCCCTGCCTCCCAGGAGTGAGTGCTGGGAGCCCTGGCCAGTGCCCCTCCTTCCTGATTCTCTGCAGTCCTCAACTGGGCTCCCCACTCAGCCCCTCACCTCTCAGCTCCCTGCTATACCTTCCCCAGTTCTACAGAGTGGATGGGGGTTCCCAACCTCATCACCATTGACATCTGGGGCCCTCCTGTGCATTGTAGGATGTTGAGCAGCATCCTGAGTTGGGACAATCAAAAATGTCTCTTGTTGTTGTTTGCCTTAGAGTCCACCCAACTTATGGCGCTGCCAAATATCCCGTTGTTGTTGTTAGGTACCGTGGAATCGGCTCCAAATCATAGCGGCCCTATCAATAACAGAATGGAACATTGCCCGGTCCTGTGCCATCCTCACAATCATTGCTATGTTTGAGCCCATTCTTGCCGCCATCTCTTGAGGGTCTTCCTCTTTTCTTCTGACCCTTTAGTTTACCAAGCATGATGTCCTTGTCGTGGGATTGGTCCCTCCTGATAACATGCCCAAAGTAAACAAGATGAAGTATTCCCATCCTCGCTTTTAAGGAGCTGGCCTTCCTCCAAGACAGATTGGTTTGTTCTTCTGGCAGTCCATGGGTGGAAGTGGGGTGGGGGTGGGGAGGCAGGCAAAATCTCCCCCGTTGAAAACGACTGGTCTAGATATTAACCCTTTGTTGGTTTTAGGGTATATTTCCGTTGGACCTTTCTTGGGTAAGAGTTGGGTTATTGGGGAGTGTGGAATCTATCTCTACCTCAAACACATGGGGGGCAAAATCGTCCCCAGTTTAGAAACACTGCCCTAGAACAGAATTTCAAATTCTCACGGACTCCGGACTTTTTGGAGCCATGGAAGCTGGATGAACCCCCAAAACTATTGCCCTGAGATAATCTTTAAACCTTAAACCAAAAATATCCCCTGAAGTCTTCTTTAAACCAAACAGTAGTTTAGCTTAACTAGTAAAGAATGTCTGCCTTGAGCATTGTGCTCTTTTAAGAACTATCTATAAGGGATCAAACTGACAACAGTAACTGGAAAGATTAGATAGGAACCTTAGGGGGGCAGTGAGTTTATGTTAATGACGTGGGAACAACTCAGAAAAGGAGGGTGAGAATGGTTGCACAACTTGAAGAATGTAATCAATGTCACTGAATTGTACATGCAGAAAACTGTTGAAGTATGTTTTGCTGTGTATATTCTTAAAAAAAAAGAACCACTACTCTAGAGAAAAGAACAGAACTAAAGGGCAATTGAAGTGGAGTTCCCAAGTGCTAGGTCCGGTCCCCAGGGGGCTGCAGGCAAACAGGAAGCACTTGCATAAGTCAACTATTTGAGTCAGTTGGTAATCAAGCAGAAGAGGAAAACTGACATCGACCTGAGTACCTACTGTGTACTTGGCAGACACACCTATATTTGAGTTTCAGCTCAGCCCATGTATAAATGAAGAAGAGATATCTCTCCCTTACAGGGTTGCCATGAGAATTAAATAAGATGTTGGTAAAGCACCAAGCTTCAGCAAAGATATCAATAAGGTTTGAGTCTCCCTGACAATTTAACCCTCTCCTCTCTGAAGACTTGATTTGTTAGTTGCTGTCACTTCTGCTCTGCTTCTCGGCAACCTCATGTACAACAGAGCGAAACATCTGGTCCTGCGCTATCATCATGATCATTGGTATGTTTGAGTCCATGGTTGCGGCTATCGTATCAATCCATCTCATTGACGTTGCAGCTACAAGCCAAGGAATGTCTGTAGCTACCAGAAGCTGGGAGACAGACATGGAACAGATTCTCCCTCAAAGCCTCAGGAAGAGTCAACACTGCTGATACCCTGATCTCAAATTCCCAGCCTCCAGAACTGTAAGATGATAGATTTCTGTTCTTTAGAGCCACCCACTTTGTGGTATTTTGTTACAGCAGCTGCAGGAGACTAATATGTGCAGCCCAGTCAAGGGGCAGAGGGCAGACAGGGCTCCTCCAAACGCCACCGCCTTGCAGGCAGGGACTCGGCTCAGGGATTCTTGGCCCCATTGCATAGTTGGGAAAACTGAGGCTTGGAGGTTGGTCCCTGGCCAGACCACTGGACAGGGCTGAGAGTAGACCCCATGCTTCAAACTCTTGCTCCTTTCATTTCCCCAAGAGGGGGATGAGGAGAAAGGGAGTTGGACAGCAAGTGAGGGGTCCTTGGCCCCAGGGGTCACCTGAACAGGCAATGGTTCCTGGCCCCAGGGGTCCATGCACAGATGAGGGGTCCCTGGCAGGAGGAGGAGGGACAAAGCTGGGATCCAAGCCCTTTGCAGCTTCCTGGAGACGGGAAGAAGGTTGGGGCCTGGGGTTGTCCTTGAGGATCCCCACCCCGACGTACCAGTGCAGACCAGCCCTGCGTCCTCGCTGTGGTCACAGTTGCTCCGACCCCAGGGGCTGCGAGGACAGTCACGGAGGGCCTGCTCTCCACCTCCACACCCCACGTCGTCCATCCACACCGGCCCTGAGCCTGGGCCGAATCGGGCACCTCCAGGGGCAGCCAGTGCCCCCCCACAGCCCAGCTCCCGGCAGGCCACAGCAGCATCCCGCAGGTCCCAGCCATCGTCACACACTGTTCCCCAGCGTCCTGCGTGCCACACCTCCAGCCTGCCCACACAGCCGTGGGTACCTGAGACCAGCCGCAGCCGTTCTAGGGGACAGAGGGATGGGTGGAAAGGGGACAGTGAGGAGCATAGGGACTGTAGGGGATCGGGGGATGGGGAGAGAGTGAGGGGGCAGTGAGGAGGACAATGAGGGACCTGGGGGGGACAGGTAAGGGCCTAGGGGATAGGGAGGGACCTCAAGGGGACAGGGAGGGGACTGGGGGGATAGTGAGGGGCCTGGGGGACAGGGAGGGGTCTGGGGGATAGTGAGGGACTCAGAAGGACAATGAGGGGCCTCAGGGGACAATAAGGGGCCTGGGAGTTTTGTCTGACCGCAGTTTGGGATAAGCACATTCAACCTCCTCATTTCTCATCTGGGGAAACTGAGGCCCAGAGGGGGCAGTGGCTTGTCCAGTGACAGAATCAGGTCCCACATGAGACCTGCCCATAAAGGAGAGAGAACGAGGAATGGGGGGAAGTACCTGGGTGCCAGGAATCAGACACTTAGGTCGTTTGACCAGGAATGAATGCTGGGCGGGTCGTGGGGAGAAGGGGAGATAGGGGTGGACCTCCTGAATCCCCAAAGGGTGCCAGAGGCTGGCCAAGGGCGTCCTGGCACCCAGCTTGGAGGGCAGGGTCTGCAGGGTCTTACCTTGGCGGGGGGCCCCAGTGGTCAGCACAGGAGCCCTGGTGGACTTGGCCTGCTTGGGTGGCCGGGGGCTCTTCTTCCGGGAGCCACCACTGTTCTGGGGGCTCCCTACCGGCTGGGGGGCTAGGAGAGGAGATAGCCAGGAGGTCAGGAGCTCAAGCTTCCATCCACCTGGGGAACAGGGCTATGCTTCCTCAGGCTCCAGGTATAGTCAGGGGGTCCTGATGGGCACATGGAGGACTTCCTGGAGCTGGGAGGAGACCATCCATATGAGGCCAGGAGAGCACAGGGCTGGGCTAATCAGTGAGTGCTAGGGCTCACCAGAAGTCGTGGGGGGCACCTCAGACCCCAGGCTGAACTCCCTGGACAGCCCCAGCCACAGGTCCCCATCCACAATGGGGGCTGACTCGTCCCTGGAATTTGCCGCCACGCGCTGGCCTACAAAAAGAACAGAAACTGTGAGGGCGAGGGGGCAGTAAAGAGGGCACAGTGTCTCTGAGATAGCAGTGGGGGCTGGGACACCCGATACCTTGTCCTCCAGGGCTCTAAAGCCAGCACATATAAAGTGGGGATCCCTGAAGGAAGTAGTGGCTTTTGAGAGGGTTAGAGATTGGAGGTCTGGACTCCTGGACCCTCAGAGTTACTGGGGCTGAGGACTTAGGTCCCTGGGTCATCTCTGAAGGAGATGGAGAACAGGCTGCCCCAAACAAGGACCAGGGACCACTCACCTGTGCAGATGACCCCTAGGCCAGGGACCCCACACCTGTGCAGATAACCCTTGGGCCAGGGATCCCTCACCTGCACAGATGACACCTGGGGCAAGGGACCCCTCACCTGCACAGATGACACCTGGGCAAGGGACCCCTCACCTGGCAGACGATGGCTAGGGCCAGGGACTCATCACCTGTCAGATAATCCCTGGGCCAGGAACTCCTCACCTGGCAGATGACATTTGGGGCCAGGGAGCCCTCCTCACCTGCACAGACAACGCCTGCATCCTCCTCGTGAGAGCAGATGTGAGCCTTCCAGCCACGGTGGGGGCACAGGCCCAGCTGTCCCTCGCTGCCCCGGCAGGCCAGTTCGCTGAGCCACACTGGCCCCGCGCCCTCCCCAAAGAAGGCGCCGCCGGGGGCAGCCAGCGCTCCCCCACAGCCCAGCTCCCGGCAGGCCACAGCGGCATCCCGCAGGTCCCAGCCGTCATCACACACCGTCCCCCAGCGCCCTGCATGCCACACCTCCAGCCGGCCAGCGCACTCGTGGGGGCCATCTGCCAGGCGCAGCCGCTCTGGGGACAGAGGGGAGGCTCTGACCCCGGGGGAGGAGCACCCCCGAGGCCCTGGGGCTGGATGAGGGCAGGGGCTGCAGGGGGACAATTGGAAGGCCAGCCAGCCACTGGCAGACCCAGACACCTGGGCACTCAGGAGAGGGGTAGGGAGAGGTTAGACACCTGGGCCCCTGTGGGGAGTGGTTGCCAGGAGGGCCAGTTGGTAGGTCACACGGGGATGGGGGTGGCCAGGGTTGCGGTGGAGGACGAAGTGAAGCCGATAGGGCAGGATGGGAGCTCAGTGAGAACAGATGGCAGAAGAGTTTGGGGACTTACCAACAGCCTGGATCCCCATTAGAGCGGCTGCAAGAGGTTTGATGGATGAGAAAGAGTGAGGGGTAGACCTCACCCAAGGGGGGTCTTTTCTGCATTGCGAGACTTTTGTTGGGAATACCCCAACATGTGCATGCACACACACACGCACACACACACACACGGAGTCCTCACACCTTGGACCCCGAACCCCACTCTGGGATCAGAGTCAGGTCCTGGCGCCTGAAATCAGGGCTGGGGACCAGGTCCTTTGTGTTCCCCTAGGGGGTTGGCTGAGGGTCACATGGCTGGCTGGGTGGTCCTCACCCCAGGGTCAGGGCTCAGGGGAGGGGCCGGGTCCCTTGGGTCCCCAGGAGGGAGAGACTGGGCATCCCAAAGGATAGGTCCTGAAGGGACTGGGGTCCTGGAAGTCTGAGTCCCTAAACTTGATGATGAAAGGGTCAGAGGGCAGGGACGCAGGACCCCTGAGTCCCCCAGGAGGACAGGTCACTCACCGAGGAGGCAGGCCAGGACCCACATGTTTGCAGAGGCCGGGGCAGGGACGGGGTGAAAAGAGGGTGTGGGGGGAAGGAGGAGGAGGCAGCCACAGGAGGGAAGTGACTTGGAGGCGCCCTGGACCCGGGGAGGAGCAGGCAGGGGCTGGACACTCTTCCACAAGGAAGAGAGAGGCTGTGAGGAGGAGGCAGGGGACAGCAGGGGGGCAGGGAGGGGGTTGGCCAGCGGCTGGGGTGTGGGGAGGAGGAGGGTGGCTGGCAGGCGGGCTGGCGGGAGGGACGGAGGGAGGGTGTCCAAGCTGCAAACACCCACACAGGAGCCAGCCAGGCTTTAGACCAGCGATGACCTGGGCTTAGAGACATGGGGTGGCAGGCTGTAGGCAGGGCCAGCACAGAGGTGGATGTAGGAGGCCAGCACAGATGGGGAGCCCCCTCCTGCCTCCTTTCTTGTCCAGCCTGGGAAGATGGTCAGACCCCAGTGAAGGGGATGAAGGTTGGGCCAGGTACATCTGGGTGCAGCGAGAAGGCTTGCAGCCAGACACCAGGAAGAACTTCTGGGATTAGGAAAGGAAACTGAGGAAGTCCCCTCCTCCCTGCCCCCTACTCCTCGTACATTTGAATGCAAAATCCCCACTCCCAAATATGTGGGGAGGAGCAGTTGAATATAGGTAGCCCCAACGGTTGAGAAATGGGAAGTGGGGGGGTATGGGGAGACCTCGGTTTTGGTCAAGGTTTGAGTAGGGGGAGTGAGAACTCCACATATTCACACACATTCAGACATATACACACACACACTCTGGCTCTCTCTTTCTCTGCACCAGGCAGCTGTGAGGCGGAAAAAATTCGGTAATAGGACTTGTGAGTCAGAAGGGCTGGCAGGGACTGGGCCGCTGTGAGCTCATTGCCTCCCCTTCTCTTGGTCCAGCCCCCCCCCCCCCCCCCAACAACAATTCATGTCAACTTGGGGAAGGAGGAGCCAGACAGAAGGGGTGGGGGGGATCCGGAGACAGACTGGAAAAGGCATCAGAGACAGAGTGGGGCACACAGCAGTTTCGGGCTTTATTAACAAATGAGTGTAAAAAACCATATGGGTCTGGAGGGAAGCATGGCGGGGACGCTACCCACCGCTCTCAGCTCTTGAGAGCTTCCCAGACAGGCCAACCCTGGCAGCACCCCCCAACCCATCCCCACCGGGCTCCCCTACATACAGACAGCCCTCCCCTGCCAAGGCTCTGCTCACCCCCATGGACCTTCCCCACCCACTCTGTAGCCCCGTCCCCTCCAATCACAGGCATCAAAACCTACCCCATGCTCAGGGAGCCCCCATTTAAGCACGCCCCTGCTGCTAAACCTCACTCTTGAGGGGCATACCTGCTCAGCCTCCCCTCCCAATATCTCTCCCAGGCCTGTAGCACAGATGGTGGCGGGGGTGGATTTCTCAGTGCAGACTGGATCTGAGGCAGAGGGTTGGACAGTCTGACCTTTGGTGGTCCCCCGAGAGAGAGCCAGGAGGGGGAAGAGAGATTCTACTCTGAGACGTTCACACACTACCAAAGTCCAAACACTACCCACACTGGGCAGTGGACAGAGTAGAGTGAACATGCCTGGCGCACAGCAGATGCTCACTAAATGCTGGTTTCCCACCCAGACCCAGATCGCTTTGGGCAGGGGAGTCACAGTTCTTTGCTGAACTCCCGCACCAGCATGTAGCCCATGCAGCCCCAGCCTCCCTCGGCCTGGTACCCACAACCCTCCAACATCCCTGCCACCCCCCAGGCAGCCACAGCCACTGGGACCACAAGACGGGCCCGAGGCTCACCCATGCCCCCTGCCCAGGCACGGGCTCGGGCCTCGGCGAAGGCCAGCAGCCTTCTGCCCACGCCACGGCGGCGGTGCCAGCGGGAAACGGAGAGGCGGGTGACCCGGGCCCCATCCCCTGCGTTTGTGCCAGGTGCTAGCGCCAGGACACCGCACACATCGCCTGAGCCACGCACAGCCACCCAGGGGCCCCCCAGGCCGCCCGGCGGGGGCAGTGAGCCCCACCGGGCCCTGAGGCCCAGCTTCACCGCGGCCACGGCCAGGAACACAGGCAGGAGGAGGGCCAGTGCGAAGGAGGCCAGCACGAAGCGCAGACCGCTGCTGGCTGCTGCCAGGAGGAGCAGAGCTGGGGGCCGTGTCAGGGCATGTAGGGCCACGCGGTTTTCCGTGTCCTTCACGCCAGCCTGCAGGCAGGATGGGGGCAGTCAGGGGCAGAGCTTCCTTCATCCATCACGCCAGGGCCTTTGCGGGCACCAGGGACTAGGAAAGGGGAGCCAGCCCTTCCTGGGGCAAGGAGCTTAAAAATGAGGGAAGACAGCGTGATGAGGGGCCTGTGGGAGAGGGACAAGCAGGGGCATGGATCTCATCTGCTATAGTCACCAGTGAACAGTCTGACATGCTGGGTGTTGAATGAGTGAGTCAACGAGCAGAGAGTGAGTGAGTTAATGAATGAGCAAATGAATGAATGAATGAATGCACAAATGAATGAATGAATGCATGAATCAGTGACTGAATGAGTAAATGTGTGAAAATGAGCAAATGTGTGAAAATGAATAAATGTATGAATGCATGAATGGATAGATGGCTGTGTGATGAATGAATGAATGGGTAAAGGGATGAATGCATGAATGAGGATGAATTAAGAGTGAGTGAATGAGTGAACTGATGTGTGGATAAATGAGTGGGAGAATGAATGAGTGGCTGGGTGAATAAATGAATGAATGCATGAATGAGTGGGTGGATGAATGAATGCACAAATGAATCAATGTGCAAATGAATGAATGAATGCATGAGTGAGTGGATTAGTGAATGAGCTCATCAATGAATGAGCTCATAAATGAATGAATGAGCAAATGAATGAATACATGAGTTAGGAGCCACGGCACCCACTCAGCCTAGGGGCAAGACTGAGGCTCTGGGAAGTGACCCTGGAAGGCAGAGAGGATTCTGGGAGGGGATCATATGCCAGGCAGAGAGGACCCACAACTGTCCCAGGCTGCAGTGGGGCCGTGTGTGGGAAGGCTGGGAGGTCCTGAGTGCCCTGCTGGGGCGCGGGGCTGTGCTTTGACAAGACCCAGTGCGTTCTGGGCGGCATGTAGGGCAATAGACTCTTAGCAAAGAGGCCGCGCTGCAATCTGGCCCCACATCCTCCTTGCTCCTGGTGGCTAGGCCTTGGGTGTGGGGAAGGCACTCGAGAGAGAAAGGGCCCAGCTATGAAGTAAGCGAGGAGGATAAGACCCCCCACCTCCAGGGGTCCCAGAGGCTCAGGCTGCAGGACGAGGGGTGGCAGATCCCCCTTCCACACCGGCCTGGGAGCATAGGACCCACCGGCGGCCTCTCACCTTCAGCATCTCCAGCACCAGAGGCTTCTCGTCCTCCCTCATCTCCCTCACCGACAGGTGGCCGGGGGCCATGGCCGCCCCCAGGCCTGGGCCCTGCGCCACCGAGGGAGCAGGCGTGCACCTGAGGAACACAAGGCGGTCAGCGGGAGCGGCGCCCCTCTCCACTCTCCGTTCACTTCAAAGCCCCCGCCTCCTCCAAGGACGAGAATCGAGAATCGTTTCATTAGTGATCCAGGTCCGGACCCCGAGGCTCCACCACTTAGAGTCTGGGCCCCGAGAGAGGCATGCGGCAGGTCAGGCTTCCCATCTACCCAGTGACCTTTCTAAAGTTCCAGGTATCCCGGCCCCACCCCCGAAGTACTCAGCAATCTGCCCCTAAACGCCCCGTGAACACCCACACCTCGCACCCCGGGGCGCCCTGTCGGATGCCAGGGCCGCCCTGGGGGACCCAGCCAGGGACTGGACCACGTCCCCCCGGCCAGCGCCTAGCAGCGCCCGTGCAGCTGCGCAGGAGCGAGCACCTGCCAAGGGCCTCTGCAGGGTCGCTGCGATCTTTTGACAGGCTGGGGGGAGCAGGGTCGGGAAGGGGTCGCCGGCGGAAGTGACGTAACTCGTGGAGTGCGGAGGGGTAGCGGGTGGCGCCTGACTTGGCCTTAGCAACGGTTGCCAAGCGTCCGGGCAGGCAGGGTGCGGGAGTCCCGGGGGTAGAGGGACAGCGTCAGCGAGCGGTGATCCTGCCGGGGGGTTGGCCTCTCAGGTTCCCGGAGAAGGAGCAATCGGGAGATGGGCCTGAACGCTGGCCGGGGCCTGCCGGGGTCGGCGAGATGAGATAGAGTGAGGGCGGGGAGCGCTACTCACGAGGCCCGCAGAGGGTGAGCGCACGCTCACTTCGCGACGTTCCCTAGTTGCTAGGCAACCTAAGCGCTGTGTGCGAGTGTGTGATGCGCGCGAAAGATTGCCTTTGGCGCGGGGGCCTTCGCAGAAGGGGCCAGGGTCGCAGTCAGCATCCAGGCCGCGGGCGCCGACCCTTCCCATGCCCAGGGCCCTCAGCCTGGGCGTCTGGCCTTGCGATCCCTTAGGGCAGAGGCAGGGTGACTTACAAGTGACATAACCAGGTTTCAGACTCTAACCTTCCCCGTATAGTTATCAATATGTCCCTTTTCTAAGGACAGGGAAATTGAGCCCCACATAGAAGTGACTGGCCCCAAGCCGCAAAGCCAGTCACCTGCAGACCAGGAGAGTCCGAGCTCGCAGGCTGCCCCTTTCTCCTCCTCCTCCTCC